CAGGCAGGCAAGTAGTTGATGGAAGCGAGATTGGAACAATTACCAAGACTGTTCCCCTGATCACCCGACCAATAAAAAATTCTCTCTGCGCTACGGTCACGATAGTTGAGGCAGGTACCGAAGGCACGTTTGGAGCCACTCTCTGGGCTCCGCCCGGAGGCCTTAGATGACCAGGCAGTGTGCACCAGTAAAAGAAAAAAGACAAAAAAAAAATCAGGGCAACCTCGAGGAGGTTTGGAGGCCTCAAGTAACCTACAGAAAAAGGCACCAAATGGCGGTCACCCAGAATGGAAAAAGGGCTATAGGTCTTCACCCCCCCCCTGGATTTACTTTGTTTCTATATTTATGTTTTTGTTAGGAAGACGCTATATTCTGCCCCTAGGCCTTGCTAGGCCTTGCAGCAGGGATAGGCCTCTTGGCTAGGAGTGTCCCATGGCCTAGTTCGGCCTTTATGTCTTCACGTGAGGCCTCTACTGCAGGGACTCGCGCTGCGTGATCCATGTGATTTTTGGGGTTCAGCTACCTTCCGGAGCCTACCCCCCAAGGTGTGGATTATTAGGCAATTCTTTGGAAAAGCCCATTGCCCGTTGCGGCTTTTAAAATGGCCACGACCCGTTTTCGTCCGAAAACGGGCTCCGCAGCCTCCTAGTAATTCCTAGCGCCCGGAGGAATCTTGAGTGAACCGCTGTCAGAACGCTTCTATTTTATCGCTTTAGGATGCCCCCGATCAGTTGGGAATTGCTTTTAGGCTCCGTCGCTCTTTCCGGCTTTAAGAAAGGCTGCCGCGGCCCGTTTTCCTCCGAAAACGGGCTCTGCGGTCTCCAGGTAGCTCCTAGTGTCCAGGGGAATCGTAATTAAAGCGCTGGCTGTGTGCTCCAATTTCGCCGATTTTGGATGCCTTAGAACGGAATTTGCCTTTGTTGCCTGAAAAATGGCAACTAAAATGGCGCCCGCACTTGCCCTGGGCTGCTGGGACAAGCTCCGACGATCCGGATTCAAGTTTTGAATCCGGGTCTGGAGTTTGTTATTTTCCCCCCAAATTGGGAAAAAAACATCCCCTGGGAGGCTGGGGAGAAAGGCTCAGCAAGTTGTCTCTGCTGCTGCCTTCTTCCCCCCACCCCACCCACCCAGAGCCCTGGGAAAGGAATGGGAATCTGTAGGGAAATTCTCCCCCCCATACCCCACCTATTAATTAATTTGAGATCGGGGATGATCTCTGTGCTTGTGGGGAAATTGTTAGGGAAGGTACAAATTTTTTAAAAGGGATAGCCAATTATTTAGGGAGAATCCCACCAATGGGATGCTTTGTCTAACCTGAAATAGCTGAGAGCCATGCCAAAACGAGTCTTCAAGAGCTGAGACCAAGTTAAGAATGGATCCTCTGGTAAGAGAGGGCATGTCAAGCTTTGGCTACTTGGTCTCAAGAGCAGGCAGAGAAAACCCATTGGTGGATTCTCCATCTCCTGTACTGGAGAAACTAAAGGAAAGAATATTTGAGAAAAAGTGTGGATGCTGAGAAGTAAGCAAATGCTATGGAACTGAGTGGATCTTGGTCCCAAGGAAAACAGTGGGAAGTAGTTCAGATGTCTGGACATTGTGGAAAGAGTAGTAGCAAGTATCTGGAAAATGAGAATAAAAGGGAGGAAATATAGCAGTTGTGGGGAGCTTAGGGGTTGTATAGTAAATGCAGACTGAATTTAGTCAATTAGATTCAAATAATGCAGACTTTGGTTATCTAATAATTTATAGTTATCATTTCCACACATGCATCTGTTACAAAGAAACTGCATCAACCTCAAAATTTAGATAGCTTGTTTACGCACGTGGCAAGGTGTATATAACACTCACCAGTAAAAATTAGGAAAAAATTATAATGAACTGGCCATGGTGATATTTACCATAGCTGGAATTTCTTTAATTTCCATTTTAGATGTCCTATGAAAATCCCTTACTCATCATTCGTCAGTTTTTGATCTTTGATAGGTACAGGTAGTCCTCAACATATGACCACAGCTCAGCTCAAAATTTCTGTTGCTAAGTGAGGCATTTATTATATGAGTTTTGCCCCATTTTCATACAACACTTTTTTCTGTGCTGTTGTAACTTTAAACAGTTACTAAATGAATGATTGTAAGCCGAGGACTACTCATATCCCTTCCAATAATCATCTTCTATCATATAGAGTAGAATGTAAATCACAGTCTTTAAGTGAATCCAGCTTCCCGAATTATTGCAGACAGCTGGGAAGGTTGCAAATTGTGATCACATGACTGCAAGATGCTGCAACTATTGTAGATGAAAGCCAATTGCCAAATCTTGAATTGCAATTGTATGACCACAAGGATGGTGCAATGATTGTAATTTTGAGGATAGTCATTTTTTTGAGGCTGTTGAAACTTGGAACCATCATTAAATAATAGTCAAAGATTATCCACATAACTTAACAAAGAAAGTTATTAGAAAGTGCAGGCAATAGTATTCCTTATGATTCACTATGGAAACAAAAATTGGGACTTTGAGGAAGCAGGATAGGAAGAATATTTGAACTTTGATGTTGGAGGAAACTCCTGAGTATCATGGATAGTCAAAAACAAACAAACAAACAAAGATGTAATTGAACAAAACACCTCTCACACAATGTACACATGACCAGGTTCTCACACAATGTACAAATGACCAGGTTCAAATTATCATACTTCAGACACATTATGCAAAGACCCAGCTTTCTGGAGAAGGTTCTAATGCTGGGAAAGTTGAAAGAAACGAGGACAACCAGCAACCAGGAGGATGGACTCAGTGGCAAGGAGTGCACCACTGTTAAGTCTTGAAAGATCAGGTTAGGGACTGATCATTATGGAGAAAATGTATCTATGTGTCAACATTGATTTGAAGGCACATAATCAATTAATCAATAGGAATGATAATGCCAGAGAGGAACTGAAATGAATGTTATCAGTCTAGTGCTAGTGACTTCAACACTGCCACTGCTCAACTAACCACTTAACAGCTGATCAGCTCCCAGATAGGTATTATTTGTATCCATCATTGACTCTAATCAGTGGCTCTTTTCCCTCTAGATTCTAGAATTTATGGAGGCCAGATCTAAGCTAATTTTAGATATGCTTCCTTTTTCTTTTAACTTCCTGCCATTTATTTATTTGGCCTAGACACCACCCAACTGCAATGAGTAGCTAGCTCACAGCCTAAAAACAAGACCACAAACATACACTAAAAGTAGAACATAAAACAGTAAACAAGTTAGCGAAACCACAAACAAATAAAATATCCAACAACAGGCTCCAACCACCCTAGCCCAAAGCAATTAGGGTGGAAGCCATCCAGACCTCAGTAGGAACCATATTGCAGAAGGCAGGTGCTGCAACGAACTTCCTGAATTCTGATAGAGGGCAGTTTAATCAAAGGAACCCAGAATACACTAACCCTATTACACTGACATGGCTGGTCCAACATCACAGAAGATAAGCAGACTCTCAAGTAGCTGTGTACGATTTTATAGGTCATAATTGGCACTTTGAATCATACCCAAAAGCAAACTGGCAATTAGCGCAGCTTGCAAAGAAAGCCTGCACAGGTATAATGGAGCATGCCTATCACCGCCCATGCTGCTGCCTTCTGAATTAGTTGAAACTTCCAGGTCTTCAAGGACAGGCCCATGTAAAGCATGAATCATAAAGTGACTAGAACAGGAGTCACAATCTGAAGTACTCCTGCTCTAGAAAGGATACTGTCAGGGCTGCTAACTTCGGATGTTTTTGCATTGACAACAGATGGAATTGTAGCCATTTTTTACCTTTTGCTTTTAGAGTTAGATGATGCGGGAGGGGGGATGTAACAGTACCAAACCTAGGTGAGAAACAAGGTTATTGTAACCAGAACTGATAAGGAATTGGTGGGCTGGAGAACTGGAGGGGAAGCTATGCTTCAAGCTAATTGGGGAATGTGATTTATGACTGTTAATTGGAGGAGGGAATTGTGCTTTGATATTATGTGCTCAGGGGAGGGGAATTCAGTTTTTGGCTTCAATTATGCAATGCCGATATTATGCTATTCAAAATAAAGATTCTTTAAGGTAAACGATGCCTCGAAGTTCTTTTGAAGTTTCATCTGTCAGAACCACTGGTGCACAATTGATGCATCAGCAGAAGTTGTGTAAAGGTCTCCTGGATCACAGCTGCCATCTACTCATTGAGAGATCCAGAACAAACCCCAAATTATGTACCAGTCTTGAAAAGAGAAGTGCTTTTTTATCCAAGTTTAAAAATGGAAAATCTTGGTGACCCTAACTTTCATGGCCAAGGGATTTTGGTAGTATTGAAATTGAAATGGTACCTCCTTATTGAGAGACCTACACAGTCTTCATGCACAGTCAGCCTTGGACTGAAATATATAATTGAGTATGATCAGCATAATGATGATACTGAACTCCAAACCAGCAAGTTATCTCAACCAGTGGTTTATGTGAATAGGAGGGAAAAGAGTAGCCCTGAGGCACTCAACAGTCTCTATATATGGAGAATATATAGAGAGAGACTCCTCAGAAAACATATATATATGTTTTCTGAGGTTTTCGCGAGTGTTTGTATGTAGGTCTTTGGTTATTCGAGTTTTCTCCCGATGTGTGGTTGTAGCTGTTTCTTCCTTTTGACTGCCAGTGGGAGTATGAATTGATTGGGTGGGAGCTTGGCTGTGTTCTGATTGGGTAGAGATGTGTTCTGATTGGTTAGGGGCTTGGTTGTGCTCTGATTGGATGGAGGGTTGGCTGTGCTTTGATTGGCTGGGGGAGTGTTCTGTTTGGGTGGGGGCTTTGTTGTGCTCAGGTTAGTCTGAGTTGCAGGGGTATTTGAGATAGTGAGCTGTATTACTACCACGAACGCAAAGCCAAACAATAGTAATGCAGCTCACTATCTCAAATACCCCTGCAACTCAGACTAACCTGAGCACAACAAAGCCCCCACCCAAACAGAACATATTTTCCGGTGTATAAGACAACTGGGCGTATAAGACGACCCCCAACTTTTGAAAAGATTTTCATGGTTTAGAAAGTCGTCTTATATGCCAGAAAATACGGTATGTGCATTCCAATCCTGACTGCATACTTCATGGTGACTACATTTAGCCTAATTTTTGGATTTTTTAAACTTCACTCATATCCTTTTTGTACATCTAGCATGAATCTCAAATAATTGCTTAGATGCTTGGTTGCAAGTGCTTAGGAAATAATTATATAGCTGGTTAACAAAGAACAAAATAATCCTACATAATACAGATTTCACTTTTGCTATCTAGCTATTCAATCTTAACTAAGATTTACTATCATAAATAGATCTTACATTGAAAGTACATGATTTTGAGGTAAAATATGTGAATAGTACATTGAGGCTGTAAAAAGGGGACAGCCACTTTGCACATTAAAAAGTTTTCTTTATCTGTTTTCTGTTGTCTTATGGTTGTTCAGATTTTTGAAGTTACAATATCACAGCTTTAGCAGAATGTTTGTTATATCCCATACAATGTTTGCATATATTGGTCAACAAACAATACAATGCTTCCTAGAGTGCAAATAAATCTTACAGAAGAATCTGACAGAAATATACCATAAAATAAATTTTGCATTCCATAGAATGAAACATGAAGAATACACAAACTTTGTCCTTAAGGTATTGTACAATCCTGTAAACTGCAATACTATTGATAAAATAGGCCCTGCATTTTTTTGATTTGGCATTTTAAGTTACACATGCAGTATTCAAGAAACGATCAATTCAAAAATCACAAAATAATGACAATTTTAAAAAGATAAATACCCTTTCACAATTCTTCATTACTATTCTATAATTATCAGTTTCAATGCTGGTTATTTCAATTTTATTATAAAACATAAAATATTTGGTTTGGATGATATAAACATTAATGTAGTACATTAAATTATTTCTATAATATATATGTTCATATGTGAAAAATAGTATCTTCTTACAAAAATAATTTAAAACACTGAAAGCCTAAAATAGCTTACAAAATTATTGTTACTTCCATGTAACAATTATTATTTAAAACTTAGAACATAGAGAATAGCATTTTTAACCAATTAAGTCCAAGATAATCCTTAAGATGAGCAAAGTAAGTAAAAATTATATAAATATTTAGGATAAAGAATAAAGTAATTCAAAACATCTGTGAATCTTGCAGTGAAATATTTTCAATTATTAAAGCTTTATTAAAATGTTATTTTGCTGGAAAGGTTATGCACGTATTCTTTCTGATTTGGTTTAATAGCGTGCATTTAAGCTACTTACAGTTTTAAGTATGTTACTTTCAAAGTGTTTTATTGAATTATTTTTGGTTTAACTGTTTTTAAGTTTATTCTGAATTGCTTTTATTTGTTTCCTATTGTGTTTTTTTTAACACTGAAAAACAGGTAAAACTCATAAATAATACCCTTTGAATACTGTCCCATTTTCATTATATCCGTCTGCTAAAGCCATGGAAGTGAAATTGCTCCCATTCTTTCTTCAGCCATTGCTCTTTTTCAAACCTTTGATTCTGGTTTGACACATATTTACAAATCTCTTATAAGAGAGGATGGTGAGCCCTTTGGGAATTTTGATCATATGTCACAGGCAATCTCGCAAAATGGTTGCCATAGGGATAAACACAAAACATCCCTGCACTAGATGACAAACAGGTGAGATTTTTATCCGTTTTCATGTTGTTCACTATCACCTAGTTTAGTTCAGTACTTTTTGTTTGTTTGTTTTTCTGAACAGGTAGGCACATTTCCAAATGTGTTGCAGTCTTTCAACATTTCTATTATCTAAGATTTTCTACATGGCCCATATAGGTCCCAGTGGTATTATTGTAAATAAATGATGCTGGTGCTTTGCTCTGCATCATGCCAGCTTCTTGTTTATTTATTTTGAAGATTCTTTTTTTAAAAAAAAAATTAAGTGGAGCAGAGAACTTACTCCATCCTGTGGAAGCTAATCACAGCCTTTAATTACACCTTCCTTTATGCCTTTAGATTTCTCCTACAGAACATTTATTGCCAATACAATCAATCCAAGATGATTATCGCTTCTCCCTTTCATATAGGTGTTATACTACTGTCTTTCTTCCTTTTATGTCTATTGGATGGGGAAGTCTCTAGCTGAAACAAATATAAACATAGGGAATACACACATTTCCTTCTGTTCTTTACTAAGCTAACCTAACAATGAGGAATACGTATCAGACTATGACACATATGGGCTATCTTTTTAATTGAGAAAACGGTTAGAAATTGAAATCTGTAAACATACTTAAAATTAAGAAATCCTCCCAATGATGTCAGCACCTGTCAGTTTTTCAACTGTAAGGTAGACATTTGTTATGCTTTATTAGAACTCCTAGGCCTCTCCACAGTGTAACATCCTGCCCTGCTTTTAGATAAAACAAACCACCCACTTGGAAACGGTATTCTCAAGGCATTTTAAGCATAGAATTCTTAGATTATATCAGTTTAAAACTGCAGAATGTGGATTTACTGTACCTGATAGGATGTTTACCTATGATTATTAAAATCATATTAATAAAAATAATTTCATGTGCATAGTAAACTAAAGTACTGTAGTGAAAACTTGATTAGAACTTTTTTCTCAATTTTCTATATACAGATACAAATACACGAGGGAGGGAGGGAGGGAAGGGAGGAAGTGTGTGTTAAAATAAGATTTTCTCCATCTATCTGGAATGGTTAGTCTTCCAGTACTGAAATACTTGGTCTGATATATAATGTGTAAGTCTGCTTCTTTTAACCCCATTTAAGGACTTTTAAAACAAGGGACATATCACTCCCAACATATATAATTCTGGTCCTTTTTTTTTTCTTTTTAACAATATGTTATCTGTGAGGGAGAAGTAGACATCGGAATTTGAGACCTGTGTCAAATAGTTCTCCTTGGGAATAATGCATTAAAAGATCATAATTCATTTGCTTAGCTATAATGCTACAGCCCTATCTAGTTTAAAATTCATACCATTATCATATAACTCTGCATTTCTAATCCCAGATGTTTTGAATATTTTTCATCACATATGTAAAAATCATGTACTATATTAATACACCATTTCATAATTGACCAACAATTTTTACTTTGTTATTTTAAAATGGAAATAAAGAGGTTTCTCTCCAGGATTATCTTATAAAAAGTCCAGACAACAAACATTGCCCATGGTATGTTTCCTCTTCCCTTTCTAAATATCATGTTTAAATATATTTTTAAAGCAACCACATTAACATATTATTCAGAAAGATAAACTGGCAACATATTTGAAGGAAATGATCTCCACTGTTTCTTAACTTTGCATTCAAAATGAATTGATAGCTGTCCATTTTTGTTTCATCTACAGTCATTCAAAAACAGATATTTGGCAGAAGGTAATGTACTGATCTAGCAAAATCTCTCATATAAAATTTAAACTATATGGTAGTTTATAAATCTGAAGTTAACATAAATTTTGAGTATTATCAACATTCATTCATTATATCACTAATTTGCAACAGTTAAAAAAGAAAAGAGAATCCATACAGCAGCATCCATGGTGGGCAGGAGAAGAATGCTAAAGTCAACATAGTGATTGCAATTGCATGACTGAAGCACTGTCCTTTGTGTGATGTGTGTGTGTGTGTGTGTGTGTGTGTGCATGCGTGCATGTGTGCAATGTTGATGCACATACAAAATGGGTGGACTTTGATCCTAGTGTCACAATTGTCATCCTTATTTTTATCATCCACCCCCCAGAAAGAACCAAATTCAAAAGCTCAATCAGTGAACATCATGTTATCTTATTTTTCTCTATCACTGAATTCTTATTCTGTTATCATACCAAATGCATATCCCTTAATTCAGGAACCAAAGTTCAAGAATACTCTTGGTTAATGGAAAGAGAACAAGGGGAATAAGGAAATATGCGAGCAGACTTAATAGGCTTATATCCAAGAATAAGTATAAATCCTGTTAAATTGTAATGAACATCATGTCTAAGAATATATGTATGCTTGTATGTTTGTGTATGTATGTGTATACAGATGATAGATAGATAGATAGATAGAAAGATAGATAGATAATTTGCTCTCTGATATAGTCAAACCTCAATAGCAATGGCAGTCATTTCATTAAAATAGTTAATAAAATTGAAACAATACAAGACTTTATAATATATACTCAAATAGTATTTTAGTAAATTCAATGTGAATAAACTAAACAATAAAGTGTCCAATTCACAGAAATTGAGATTTTCTATAAAACATTTTAATTTGGCATCTTCAAAAATATAGATCATCAACTTCTAATTTTAAACATCCTCCAACCCCTACAATCTGTACTGGAGAAAGGCTATGAATTTATGCTGGTATAAATTACAGTTTAGCTCTTCTCTAAACTAGATGTTTGCACTGATCCAAATAAGGTATTGGACTCCTGGATAAAATCCCTAGAGCAGGAAATATTCCACAGAAACATTACCATTCACATCTTGCCACCTCAGACAGGAATTTTACCAGAAAGTTGTGTTTCCATTCTCTTTATACAATCAGCATAAAACTTCCGTTATAAATATTTTCTTCCCATCCACTTTTTACATTTGGTCAAGGATTTCCCAAGCATAAATGGAAGACCTTCTCCAAAAGCCTGCCTGAGTCATCTTTCTCTTGCAAAATAGAAGATCAAAATACAAAGAAAAAGCTAGCCTTCATTCCCTGCCCCCTACAATTGCGGTACCTCACAGCCACTTCAGTATGAACCCTTAAATACTCACATGCTATCTATTTGAAAAATAACACCTACATAAATCAGTAATATTTTTTCCACTGGGGTTCACAAATAATGAACAAAGTCCTCCATGTAAAAAAGCCAAACAAAGGGTATGCATATAGCATGCCTATGGCATTCCCTATGTGAAATTGCACAAAATGTTTTAATGCACACTTTGAGGAGCAACCTCCTTTAGAACTAGATCTAAAGCCACTGAGCAAAACTTATTTGTCACAGACATATGGATAGCTGAATTATCACTGCCATTCCTGACCAGCAGTTGCTCATAGATAATTGTCTATAAAAAGCAGTATGCTGTAAAAAGAGCTGAATGCATTGCTACTGACGCTATGGTGAATGCCAACTTCCATTTCTGAGTTGAATTGCTAGTAATGGCCCAAGGATTGCTATGATAATGACAGCTAGTTAGTTATACACAATGCCAATGTATCTTATAGAATGGAAGTTTCCAAAAGGGAAACTTCCCACCATTGTGCAGCAGGTCTTTAATGGAAACCTGGCATACTGTACACTGGTATATCAAGTTTTTCCAGGCATGAAGAGATAGGAAAAACTCCTTGTTCTTATCCTTTCCTTTACATGCCTCTATTAAAGGCACAGGAGACAGAAATTACACACACACACACACACACACACACACACATTCCTAGGTCCAACCAGCACATGCAACATATAAATAGACAAATGCTAGGACATTTCAAAACTTAATTATCACAGCATTGAATTTGTATCAAGTTCAAGATGTTACAGGATCATACATTGGATTTAGATTTATATCAAGGAACATTCTCCTTGATATCCAACCAAGTTTGGGTCCTTTTACCTGGCTTGAAACAATCAGGGAAATAAGCCATGAGCTGCACAGAATTCACACTGAGAAAAGTATTAGTAAATATAGGATGTAAATGTCTGAATAATTCATTAACACCACTCACATTATATTACATGCGAAGCTAAAAAAAAACAACGGCCAGTTAGGATGCTGCCCTACTTCTACACCATTGCTATCACTTCACAATAAGCCTAACAGATTATTAATAATGTACACCTAGTCAGGCTTGCTTATACAGTCATGATTAAGAATGCTTTTTTTTTTAGATATTAGCCATTACTTTACTTCAGACCCATTGCTATCACAAATGTAAATGGTTTGAATCAACTCTGTCCTATCTCTCTAGAATTAGGGCCAAACTCAGCAGTTGTGCCAGTAAATATCCTCAACTTTCATCCTCTTTGGTGGTAGTGTTACCTTATCCCTTTAGTTACTGCAGTTATTAACAAAAGATAGGAATACATCAGGTGGTACAAAGAAAGGCAGGGCTCCTGTGCCAATATGATACCATTTCTGATTCACATTTGTGCCATTTCATCTTTGTGCAAATCCACTTCTCTCCCTGATTATTTACATTTCTTCTCCATTTTAGTTTTGGAGGTATGTTATCATTAATGTGGGGTGAAGACACATGAACATTCAGCTGAAAAGCAACACTAGCTTTATTTTTAAGAAAAGTCACTGACTTTGGGCTCTGGAAAATACCCTTAACTCTCCCTTATTGTATGCTCAAGTGTATAGTTCACTGCTTCATAGAGCATTTTCTTTCTGGGGAATGTTATAATTAGGTACTGAGCTTGTACATTGGGAGGAGCATCAGGGCATATGTACAGTCAAATATACTGATCTTGAGTTTAAAAAGGGGACCTACAAAGAAAAGATTGTGGTTCCAGTCCTAACTGAAAGTATAGACACAAGAGAAATGGTTCTAGAGGAAAAGGATAACTGCACTTCTAGATATATCCATATTTGTGGCAACATAAATAGTTTAACTGACCTAGTTGCAAAAAAAATCCAAAAAACAGGGATGGAGGATGTGAAACTGCACATATATTATTGTGATTCAATCCTATTGCTTTTGGGTGTATGTGTGTATCTATCTGTCTAACAAACACAAAATAATGATAACAAATAACTGGATGACAAACCAAACAAGGCTAGTGCTATGTGATAAAGGTACTGCTTAAGCCAGGGGTTTTCAAACTTGGCCCTTTTATGACTTGTGGACTTCAACTCCCAGAATTCCTCAGCCAGACCACTGGCTTAAGCCTTTAAGTAGGGGAAAAATAATTGTATGATTTTTTTAGGTGAAGCTCTCATATTATTTTTACTAGACCTAGTGAAATATTTATGAAAGCAACACAGGAGTGAGTTTACAATGAGAAGCTGCATATTGATTCTATGTACAATGTATCAACGTATAAAACATCAGATATTTCAAAGTAGTTCTGGTTACTAGTTTTATAAGTTGCATGCCTTCTGCAAACCAACCATGCACAGAAATATGTGTGAACAATGCTGTAATTGGTATTGCCAAAATCATGAACAAATGTATAGTAAAACAACATCTCTATCCAGTTCTGAATATGGCTGATGCCTAGACAACTAACTACTCCAGAACTACACATATTTCATATTTCATTAAATCCCAACAGTGTGATGACTAGAATAGAAATTTAAATGTGGAAAAGTCAGTCCAAATCCTTGTTCATTTCTTGAAGTTTACTTTAAAGTTGGGAGATTGATTGGGCAAATTATATTATTTTTTGAGACTTCAAATTAATATTCTGAGCTCCTTAGAAAAAAGGAGAGATACAAATAAATAATTTAGGAATGTCCAGACTTATGTATTAGCAAACTTTATAAAAGTTCCATCTGAATTAAATAATTAATATTTACCCAATAACTTTCTTTATAAAGAAAATGATTTGATTCTATTTATTTCTATTTACCATTTATTTCATTTATTTAATCAACATGCAGTTCAGAAGAAGTATAAATTTCCATGTTGTCTCCCCCTAATGGTTTCACGGTTTAAGACCATATGTAATAATATAATAACGTGGACAAAAATGCCAAATCCAGTCTGAACATCTGGCTGACTATGTGACAAACCATGATAATAATAATTCATTGTAGGTATGTAATTCAAAATGAATCTGTATCTAGCACTTCAAAAATTTGTACACAGTGAAGAAAATTACTTCAAGCCTTCTTTACTACACAATACAAGAAAATAAATAGGTCAAAAATAATACATTTGGTTTTCTACAAGATATAAAAATACCCTTGGTTTCTGATCATGCTGGATTCTTTTACTTCAGACCTATGGAATCTTCATACTTTTTTGCTTTGAAAACTATATCACCAATAGAAATCAATTTATTTTCACACCCTTAGGGTGATCATCTAGTACTACCATCATACATTTAATTATTCCCTGTCCTGTTTTACAGCAGTCCTTGAACAGTACTCAAGTACTCCTTGAACAATACACCTGTGTCTTGCTTCTTAAATATGGTGTGTTACTAAAAGCACATTGTTTTCACTCCCTATAAGTAGTAGGAGTCCCTTCACAAGTAAAGGTGCTGACTTCAATTTTTAAAACACAGAATGTCTCATGATTTCTATAATGAAGGATTAATCATTTCTGTTTGATATTTTCTCTAGCAACTTTTAATTTCAGCTGATCATGGAGGAATATGCTCAGTGGCTATGCCCCACTTTGAAAACGCTATAAATGGCTTAGAAGCAAGATAGACTTTTTATCAAAAAGAACATACACCCAGCTTTTTGATAGTATATGTGTGTTAGATTATAACTGTCATTTATTTCTACGTATAATTTCCTGGTATATTACAGAAATGTAGATGTAGAAATGTAGATGACATAAACTGCTGTCAGTACAAAGTCAACTGCCCTCATACTGGCAATTCTGTTCAGAAAAACATTAAAACCTTTGACAGTGACTTCTTTTCTCTTCTGTTTCTAACTTCTGTTAACAGTACAATAGAAGCTCAGGCAATAAAACTTATATCTTTGAGATACAATATTATTTTAGACTAATCAGAGTGGATTTTTATGACTCGTGCTAAATGATGCATTAATTTTGAAATGTCTGTTTAGTAACATTACAGACAACAGCCTCATTCTTGATATTTGTTTCTTTGTTTACCTTTGAAACAAGTTTAAGAAAGCTATGATTTTAATAGAAATGCCCAATTAAAAAAATAAATTATATTAAGAAAGTAATATACATGGGCATTTTGCATGTCACACATTTGTTGCTAGTTATTTTTTTCTACAACAACTTCCTAATAGTTCTGTTCTGCACTCAAATGTATCAGAGAAAAAATAACATTGTACAAATTTCTTCATATAAATTTAAAATTGAATTATGATTGTGATCATTTACTTGATAGTATATAAAGATAGAAAATCAAGTATAATAATTAGTTAACACAATAAATGGAGATCCATAAAAGTACAAAATAAAAAGACACCAAAAAGCCTAATTCATACTAATGCTTCCCAATTGTGATTGCTGCTAAAGAGCCATTGGCTATTTTCATGAATATGTCAATGGACAATCCACTAATAAACATTGCACTGCATACATACCACATACGCGCGTACACACACACACACACACACACAGGGAGGGAGGGGAGGAGGGAAAACTGAAAGAATAGCAGAATGTAACACCAGGTGCTACATTAGTACAAATATATCCTAGATCTATGAAAATCTTCTCAACAGATGTTTCACTTGCAAGTGGTGGCCCTCTGAATCAAAAGCTTCTTCAAAACCTATGTCACTATAGTCACTTGAAGATTGAGTTTTTCTGGTCAACTTGTTTGCAAAAGTCTAATACATATATAATTATAAAATGCATGTCTTATGCATCCTTTTGCTGTTAAGAGCTACTAATTTAACTAACACAAGTTAAAAGAGTTAGATATTCATGCTCTAAACCATATTTTAATGTATTATAGTTTTTATTTTATGTAGTCATCAATATTCAAATACATCATGCTAAAAACAAAAAATGGCTACAGCAGGATATTCTCTTGCAATCTTAATTTCATTTTTTAAAACCACTTTAACAGAAAGAGTCATATTATGAAGGCTCCATCAAATAAAAGATGGCCTTTTATACCCTGATCTGGAGGATAAAGCATTGTACCCAACACTACTCAAGCTATTTTTTTCTCAAAAATAGGACAATTAAAAACATTAAAATATACAAACGCTATTATGTGAATGTACCTAAATAAAAGGCATTTTAATCAAAACACTGATTTTAATTGTGCTTCCTCTTGAGTATATCTGTTTCCAATTGGAACCTTATTGAACACTGTATGAAAAGCATAAAGGAATGAATAACGTTCTGGATCTTGACTTCATAAACATATCTTTACAAAACCAAGATAAATAAAATAGCTACCAAACAACCAACAAACAAGATTTGACATGTTGAGTCTGAAGAAGCTGATACAGATCTAACATGTCAAAAATTCACACTACACACTAACAGATGCCAGACCCTTAACTAGACATGATAGATCATAATGAGATTTTCCAGTGATCTCCACTAAATTAACAAAAGCAGCCTCAATGTATTGCAAGAGTTCTAGTTTCACCTACATTCTCTGCATTAAACTATTTCCTTCTACATAGAAGGGCACACATTTCAAACCTCAGGACCATGCATCAGCTCTAAATTAAGTAACAAGAGCAGGAGAAACACAAGGAGCTAGATGTGGGAGCATACAGAAGACAAAAGGCATATTATTTCATTCCTGACAGTCAACTCAATATGCCTCCTCAGGAGCCAGTTCTATTGAGTTCAATGGAATTTACTCCCAGGTAAGTGTATTCAACACTGGATACTCAGTTGCTTTCTTAAACTATTCGTATTTAATAGAGTCTAGTGAAAATAATGAAAATAGTTTTACAACACTGACTGAGGAACGTGCACTAATATAGAGCATTAGAAATAGAAAGTAGGCAGAAACAATTAAAAGTTCAATAGATTTGAATTATAAAACAGATAATAATTAGAACAAGTGCAGTGTTTTTCTATCACTAATAATATATGGATAATTAGAAAAACTGAAAACAGAAGAAACACTGATTTGATTCAGCTGGATATAAAGAGAGTATGTAGTAAAATAAAGCAATATACACAATCAAAATGTTTAAATGGTTATGCTAATGAACAAAAGGTAATTATATTGTATTGATTTTATCAAATTGGAATGATAGAATGGAATGATATGGAATTATAATTTCTAAAATATTAAGATTAGTAGAACAGTGCTGCACATTCAAGACATTGGTAATTTCACTTTTAGAAATATATACATATAAATCTTACAGATTACATATTATCAAGGCAATTTAGCTAATTTAAAAAATTAAGTATTTTGTTTTATCATTCCTGCAAAATTCACTATTGGCAACTGAACTAACTGAACTATTTCTAGGTGTATGTGTGCAATTAATTAGGTAGATGTTTGAAGGGTTATTTCAATGAATTCTGTAATTAGGAATTCTATTCCTAAGTATTCTTCTTTGAATATAAAGTTCACAATTTATGTTTCAGTGAATATTTCATTTATTTACATGAAACTTGCTTCCATCTACAGATTAACTTTTGAGGGTTCATATTTCTTATGATTATGTTTCTTGTACACTTCAAACAATAGAAATGAGGCAATATTCTAAGAAACAAATCAACCATTGTACTGAATATAATTAATATCATAGCCAGCAAATGCTCTGGTTGCCTTTTTTCTTCTTCCTTCTCTAACATTTCTGGCATAAGAATTAGAGAGAGAGTGAGAGAGCGCACTAATATATGCTAAATGAACTCCACAGAATGCTGTACATACTGCTTTGATCATATACAATAACAACTTCCATATTTAGTTTTGCTTATAAAGTCCCATTAAAATTACTCAGAAATATGTATTCTGTGATTGAGATAGATATCACAAAAATCTTACTTTCAGACAATCTCAATGTGTCGTAAGGTAGTTCAGGTATCCAACATATCCCCATGTAGGTCAACAAATAGCAATGGTTCCCAATTTGGAAGCCCTCTCACAAAAGAGTTAATTTAAAATTACAATACATTTTAGCCTTAATTTTAACAAAAACCATACAGTTTTACTATAATACATATTCCAGCCAGTATGCTTTAGTCATTTCACACTTTTTATAATTTATATAGCAGACAAATTGAAAATTACTATTTTTTTTTCTTAAATTTAGACCAATCTCATGCACAGCTGAAGAAACTCCAATATCGTGGGGATGTAATCAATCCCCAGACATTTGTGAATTTCAATTCTAGCATCTGTTCCTAGAAAGTTTGTGACGAATGTGTTCACACAGCTTTTAATTATATCTAACTATATCCACATTTTGTTGAAACGTTAATTTTTTAGGATTTGATCATTTGAATTTTGAGGCTAAGATTATTGCCTGAAAGTAAGTTCCTAAACAAGCTTATTTAGGCTACAATCTTACATATGCTTGCATAGAGCATATCTTCTTTCAGATAAACTTGTGCACATTGCCGATATATACTTGATTAATATATATTTATAAATTATTCAGTCATTGCAGTCAGCTGTTTAGTTAGTGTTTAGTTTCATAATTCTGCCATACTCTAAAATGTACACTTTTACTTTGAAGCCTTATTAGATCCAAGTTCAATCTTCTTAACTGGAAAGTTTAAATCTGGAACTTCAATCTAAAAATAAGTTTCATCAGACAACTTGCCTTAAGCTGACTGACATCATTACCCCAAACAAAAAGTATAACATGGGAATGTATGTTGTATTGATTTCAGTGAGATGTACATTGAAGCCATGTGTTTATGAGCAGGCTGTAAAGCTCTTTTGTCTTTTCCAGTAACCTGCTACCATGAGGAAAATTAAATATTATTCCTCCACAGAAAATGTTTGGTATCTATGTAAAGTTTTTGTGTCTTCTGCTTGCTCTGCTTTTTAATTACTGTAACTTATGTATTTCAACTAAATACAAGGATTACTATTATATGTCAAATCCTATAACCCGTCTACGACCATCCACACATCAAGGTTGCAAACATTTAAGACTCTTAAAAAATGACTGAGACTCTAGTATCAGTTTACTATCCCTTCAACAATTTCCTTGACAATGGAATCAAATAATGTTGAATTATAGACCTCCTCACAAGAACTCTTATTTCATTTTTTTTTTATCATTTCTCTGCTAGCCCCTATAGGAATTTGGCTGTTTGCCAGTTTCCATTTATGTTTCTATATACATACTGCATTTGGCTTACATAGGAAGATTAAATGATGATTCTGTCAAAGATTATTATTTTTATATTTGTTAACATTTATTTTACATAAGAAAAATACTATTGCCTGAATACATTGCAGATATGTTCACACAGTTTATTTGGATCTGTGCTAGCAATTATTTTATACTGTGGTGTCTTTAAAAAAACTAGTCGATAAAAGCAACTTGCATATACATTATTGAAAGGTAAGTGTCATAATCTTTTACAGCTCACCCAGTGGCACCTGAAAGCTGAGCTGAAGCAACTTACAATGAAGACTCCCTGGGCACTGGTTGAAAGGATAAGAATTACCTATGAAATGAACACCCTCTTCTATGATTTACGGACCACTTTGTTCTGTTTAGTCTGAGACTGTATATACACATATACATTTTCCTACCAACAACAAGGAACACCTTGATGTTCTTAAATGATTATTTATTCTGATAAACATTTTAAGAACTATGTAGCTATTTAACTGATTTGTTAGCAATACAAAGCTGAGTACTTGCAGAGAAAAAAGTGGCACCCAACTCCATTAAACTTAACACCCAATTAAATATACATTTATTTACATTCACAAATTCAACCTCCAGTTCCTATAAAACAGCTTGTTAATTATAATAAATCAGTTTGTCTCCTGAAGGTATATCAAATGTAGTGATAATCTGTATAAACTACAATTCTGACACGCTAAAAACTGTAGTTAATTCTGGGAAAGAAACTATTATCATCTATCTGAACATCCTTCTAGGATGAAGGCTTATATAGAAATATTGTTTAATACTTAGAAGTGATTATTTAAATTATAATACATGGAGTAGCAATAAATTATAACTTTATCCTTAAAAGGACTTATCCTTCTATGAGGATAAGAAGAATTTTACAGTGCTCAAAAAAAAAAATCTAAGAAGTAATAGGATTCTCATCACTTGGCAGAATGCTACTAATGACCAATTCACAGTGTTTGTTATTGTTTTATAAACTGTTGCAGTATTTATCTACAGTTTCCCTTCAGGGAAAGTGGAATTTATATGAATCTACCAGCTATCAAAATCACTTTTTTAAAAAAAACAAATCCAAGTGATTTAAAGGAAGCTTGGTTTCTGGTCTGCTTAGCATAGTTAAACTACCACAATTAGAATTATGTAGCACAATCCAATGCATATATTCACAGAAGTAAATACTAATGCAACAAAATAAGTCAATTCTACAATAAAAGTATTTCAAAATTGCAGTTTTACTGTCAACAGTTATGACATACAAATACTTAGAATAAAATATCTTAATAAACATTAATATCTATTGATAAGAAACATTAATAAAAAGGTGTTCTTTTTAAAAATGCAGTAAAGTATTTAAATGCTTATTAATCAACATCCAAAACAACTAAAATCCTAAATATGTAACTTGGAAATAAAAGTCGATATATACAAGTAGTTTTAATTGTTATAATGTAATGATAAACATTTTACCAAATATATATTCCAGGTAAATAAACAATAAAAATATAAATTTTGTAAATCTTCTGATTTTTAAAATATGTAACTAAGTGCAGTTTAACATCCTGATACTGGTAAGTAAGGTTCATTTCAAAACAGGATAGTCAACTTATATTAAGTGAAACAACCTACTCACGTATTCACAATATAATCTGTGAGCTAATATTAAAGGCTAATCACTCTTTAGACATGCAAATGAGGCATGGTAGTTTCATAATTGTTGGAAATAAACTCCATGATCAAACCCACTTTTCAGCTTCAAATAGCAAGTTCCATACCAGCTCAATTATTAAATTAAAAGATGTGCAATTTTTGTTTTGTTTTAGTATATTCTGAAGTTGAACTTCCCATGCTCTGTATGAATTCAAGCAATCGGACATACAAGTTGAGGGGGAAAAAAATCTTAGAAATTAATTCTCCATCACTATTCTCCATCCTAAATTCTCATTTTTTTAGTCAGCCTTGTATAAATTTTTAATGGAAATTTAACAACTATTTTAAGTTGACTTTTAAAAGATAAAAGTTATTTCCAAAAAATTATTTTAGGCTCTGAAAGTCAATGTGCTGGACTAATAGAATTGCTACTTTATGGTAATTGCTCACCTCTACTCTACCCAAATCCCATAAATTTCCTTCATTTCCTATAAGCAGATGGCCAGTTCAAGGAGACATGGCAATGATTTTTATTCCCTCCACTAGATTCTGCAGTAAAATAAGCCACTGTTACATCTTCTACCTGACACATACCTAACCCCTTCCACAGCAGCAAGTATTCTCTCTTAAAGTTGGCTGGTTTAATTTAACACATGCACTCTCTCTCTCTCTCTCTCTCTCTCTCTCTCTCACACACACACACACACACACACACACACACACACAAACACACAAGTTAACTAAAGTGTGCCCATAAAATCGCCTTCCTTTCCCAATGTTGAAGGTTCCTTAGAGAAAGGTCGGGTGTCACTGAGGCTCCCTGCCACCACTGAATAGCAGCAGACCAGTGATACCAGAGTCACAAAGGCCTACTCAGGCCTCAAAGGCAGAGCAAGCCCAGGGCCACTTGCTCTCCCTTATTCCTCCTTTTCCCGCTGGGCGGGTGTAGCGGAGAGCAGACACAATTGCTGGCTTCTTTGGTGCCTTTCTTCCCTCTTCGGTGCTTTCCCATCCCTGCCCACTTGCCCCATTGTCTTCCTTGGACACGCCGTCAGGGCATGACTAAACCTCAGCGGGAGGCCAAGGGAAGCACAGGGTGACCCCTGCTTGCATCCAAGCTCTGCTGCTTACACTCTCTTCACCCCCTCCCATCCCAAAGGAGCAAAACCTTCCTCGGCCAGCCCCCCTCCCCCCCCCCAAAAAAAACCGTCCCCTTCCTTCATCCCTAGCTTGCTCACGACCCGCCCTTAAACACCAGGCGCTGTTCGCCATTTCGCAGGCCTCCGGGCACCTTTCCCGGGGAAAACCGGGACGCCCCGAATCAGGAACTGAGGAGACTGCGAGCAGAGGGCCGAAGGAGGGATAGCGGGAGCGACCTAGCGCTTTTCCCCTGAGGCTCTGTCAGGCCCGCAAGCCCCCCCCCCTTTTTTTTTTCTTTCTTTCTTTTTCTGCGCGGCCGCGAGAATCTCTCGGCTCCAACCTCCTCCCAGCAAACAGCCGTCTGACTTTTCTCTTTCTCCGAGGTGAATCTCTGACCTCGCGGCCTTTCAGTGGCAGCAGTTACACACATAAACACACATGTACACACATCCCGCCACAGCCATAGGCGAGCCGAGCCGAGCCTTTTCAGGAATCCAACGTGGTGGTGGTGTTGGGCCACTTCACTCGCCGTAACTGGAGGGCGGCGGAAACGTGTTAATTAACGTAGGCCTGAACGAAAAGGAAGGCTCCAGACAGTCGCTTTTCTGGATGAGGCTGACCGCTCTTGCAGGGCAGATAAGTAGGCGCCCGCGCTACATCTTGCTGGAAGTTATTCCAGCCCTGCGCCTTGAGCGTCTCTTTCGGCCTTCAGGTGCCATTGAGGGATTCAGACGGCCGCTTCTTTCGTTGTTTCCCGCCGCCTACATCAAAGCCTGCTAGGTTCCCCCACCTTCTGTCCCTTAAAAGCCTTCTCCACCTGCGCCCTAGTGCTTCGGAAGGCCAGAGAACTACCCCAGCAAGCAAAAGTGGACTCTCCCAACTCCAGTTTAGGCTTAATCCCGGCCGTCGCTGCTTCTTTAGAAAGGGCCGTGAGCACCATTGAGCAGAAGGGGGCGCCAACCAGCGAAGAACCCGGGATCGGTTGTCCAGGTCTCTGAAGTCGCTTTTGGCTGCAAGGCTTGGCTGGGGAGGGGGGGTGGAAGACGGGTGGGTAGCCGTCTTCGCCTTCCCTGACAGACCTGGTAAATGAGGAGTCTTTTCTCTTTCTCCCGCCAAACCCACGCCTGGCTCGCTTTTGTTCCCGGCGGCTACTAAGGCTACTACTAAGGCTGTGCGGTAGGCAAAGAAAGGTGACCAAACTCAGAAACTATGGAGACGTAGGGATGAATTGGTATTCGCAGAAGACGGAAGGGAGGCTTGTAGCACCATTTCTTTTATTCAAATGCCTAAGCTTTTGGTTTGGCCTCTTCATTATTATTACATACGTAGATTAACCGAGTCTGGTCCTACAGTAAAGGGACCAGTACCTGCCGTCCACAGGCCAGTCTAAAAGCAGACAAGGCGACCTACTTGTAAACTGATTGGGCCACATTCGTAACAAAGAAAGGGGGAAAACTTCTGCCTCCCTCGGGGGAGGGGGGGCGGAGAGGGAAAAAAGAGAGAGAGAGAGAAAGGGCGTCTTTTGAGGAAACAAGAGATCAAGCCTTGCGGGGTATCTCCGAGGAACGCACCCTAGCCTTCGCAACACAGCCTGTGAAAAGGGCAAATTACCAGGCGGCGCACGCGCAGTATAGTAAACCCGGGGCCAAGGGATACTTGTAGCTTCTCCGCGGTGCTCGGAGTGGTCTTTTCTGTCTGGTAGGCGAAAGGCAAGGAACTTTCACCGGGCCGGGGGGGGGGGGAAAGGAAGGAGAAAATATTCAGCAACCCATTAACTACTCCGCTTGAAGAGACCAAAAAAAAAAAAAAAAAGACAATTCGGAGATGGCCCATTAAAGCTCACATGAGCCGCTATAACAAACATCGGAATATTTTTAAAGGGGAGCAATAACCGGTGCGTGTGTGCGCGCTCGCATGTTTCCGGCGCCGAAACTTTGGGGAAGTTTATAAACACCTTGGCGATATAGAGAATGAAAGAGAGAGAAAGAATTGGAGGGGGAAATCAAGCTCCCGGTTTCTTTTCTTGAGCACAATAACAACAACAAAAACCTCCCATATTTTGCTTCCGCTTAGATAAAATAATGATTCATTGGGAAAATGGGGCATAAATCTTCATTTTGGACGCAATTAAAGTGTTGATTTCATTCATGCCCCTAAGCGGTTCTTGTAATTTGCTCAAATAGCTTTATGTACCAAGCGCTCTGAAGCTTTTAGAAACCTATTTTCTCGTTAGACTTGTTGGATTACAATTTTGATTCAACAACAGCCCTCTTCAACTACAGCCCTTGTTTTCAGCGATATCTGCAGGGGCGCACGATACCCCCAACCAAACCGCAGCCACCCCCTTCCAAGGTCTAAAAAGTCAGCAGACCACTGCCGGCCCACCCATGTATACATGCAGGGAATGAGATCCTGACAAGCAAAATTAACAACCGACTTACAAATTTTCCATTGCTTATTGAATACTTTTCAAAAACAGGCATTTTGTCCAAGAGCTTCATAAAATCTTATGGCTGCAATCAACACATTGCTTCTTCTGTCCCGTCCTCATCATGGACAACAGATGCAGCCACCAAAAAGAGGGAGCAGTAAATGAAGAACGCTTTGAGCCGAACTCAGGCATAAAATCGCCTTAATCAAGACAACAGCATTCTGATCAATGCCTTCTCAAAATAGACCTCAGACCTCTGCCTGCCTTCGCAAAACCAAACAAAAAGCGTCTCTAGAGCTACAGTCCAATGGCTTTTGAAAGTTTCCAACGTAACAGATCATAAAGAAGGAAGAAACTTGGGAGGGGTGTGTGTTGGAATCTGTTTCTTTCAAAGGAAGCAGTAATTGCAACTAAACCACCGGTGTTGCCCATTATTGTCACCTTCCGCAACAATCTCCAAGACGATGCCCACCACTAATTGTAGCTTTAAGGAACATTCATTAGTTAATATCACTTCTCCCGTTTTAAACCAAAATGATACTTTTGTTTTCCTTTCAAAAAAAACCAAGCCTTATTCCAGCGGTTAGGCATGAGCACGGGAAACCAGGTGAAGTTGGAAGGTTCAGATATCCCAAATAAGGGATAGCCAAAGAGGCACGGATGACACCGCAACATCATTCTTTCCCTCACTAGTTCTTGCTGCTTCTCCTGATTTTATCATTTCTTTTAAATAAAGCCCAATGTCTTTGCAGCAGGCAATCTTCATACAAAGCAATGCTCACTGAGGTCTAAAAGCTTTCGGCCAAGGAAAACTGACAAGACAGGCTAATGAACCATAGAGACAGGAAGAAAATAGTTTGCTAGATTTCAAACCCCAGACCACCAATCTCGGATTTGACTCTTCCTCTTTTTTCCTCCCACCCCTTTCTAGCATCTCTTTACATTCACAAGTAGAGCCTTCTGTTGTCATTAAAAGGAGAGTAAATAAAATAAAGACAAAAATTAAAAGCGACAAGGAGCAGGTCAAGTTTGGAGGCAATGCTTTTACAAGCTCATTCCGCCAGGTCGAATCCCAGAGCAAGACTTAATGAAGTAATAATAGCCACATTATTCAAAAATTTTCATTTCGATGGAAATTTATCCAAAAGGGACTTAATCATATGCAAATAATAAAAGGGGGCGTAGTGACCTGGCAAACGATCTGCATACAGATTTGCACAGCAACTGCAAAGCTGGAGATGACCATACCTGATCTGTTAGGTTTGCTGATCTCGTTATGTCTTCGCTGTCTGATTTTGATCCGCCTTCTCTATCATCTATTACCAAATCGATTGGCATTTTCCCTTTCAAACAGCTAATGTACCGGTGGCAGAAATTGTCACACAATTCGTGTACCTGCATTATGACAAATGTAACAACACCAAAATATAATCAAGGGCATGTTAAGTGAAATTGACAAGAGCAGTCAATTCCCCTCCCCCCTTTCCTGACATCAAAAGTTCTAAATAGGGGGAAACAGACTGCAATTATCCCCTCGAGAGGCTTTCAGAATTAAGAAGAACTTTCTTTTTCTGGCAAAATAGAGATATCCCAGAAAATTGACAGTGACAAGATGATTCACAGCCTACAACATATTCAACACCCGTGTTAAATTCATCTGCTCTCAGAACTGTGACTATTAGTGAGGTAGCCTGCATGGATGACATTTAAGGTAAACTGTTTAATTTTACCCCGCTATAGCATCACAAGCCTTTTCCCAAGGAGTCTGTGGACACAAAGGACCCCTTGCTCCAATTGTACAAAAAAGTGGAATGCTCTAAAAGTACCTGAATCCATGCCCTTACATTCTGAGCTGCTGTAATGTTTTTCCACTGTGAACAGGCCCATATTAACCATTTATTGCAAAGCACAAGCATGCCACTTGCTACTGTTAGAACAAAAAATGCCTAAAATATCCCTATTCACCCCCCCATTGTCCTCTTTCCTTATATGTATGTATAAATATCTCACAGATTGTTTTTTTTTTTAGTAGAAACAATATTCCAGGAAACCCTGAAATGTTTCTAGTCCAGTCCTACTTTGAAATGTACTTGGGTTCCCATAGTAGTATTATTATTAGTACACATATTCAGATTGATCGGACATCTGCCTTCTTGGGAAAGGGAAGGAGTAGCTCCCACAAAAGAAATAAGAAACTGACACATCTAGCAACTCTGGCTTGTTTCTGCAAAATGTTACAGGACAAACTGTGCCCTGTGTGTGACCCTGCAGATGGCTCTTTAAAAGAAAAAGAGGGGGGGGGGCTGAAAAACTAAAAACTAAAGTACCTGGATAGAAATAGCTACCCTACGGGGAAGCACGCTGAAAGACAAGCATCCTTCTAAATATTATCCAATGCATTTGTGCAAAGGTAGTAAAAAGAGATACAAGGCCAGGGTGTTTGTGATCCAGATTTTCAGTGGCTGAAATTGTAATTAAACTTTAAAGAGAAATGGATGCCATGATTGGTTTTGACACTAATTACCAGAAGGAAAGATATTTATGGAAATTTTGCTGTAGCTTCAACTTTATGAAATATTATTAGATAGGGGTGAGAAAAAGAAAGAGAGAGAGAGTTACCTTCTCTAATTCCAACAGATGAAACCTTAATACTTGTATGGCTTGGATCATCTGTAAAAATACAAAACAGTGTAAGTCTCTGATTTTAGGGCTTCTCCAATACTTCTCTTCCTGTTTACTATCCAGGAGTCACTGTATGTACGTTCTTACATATGCAGACATATGCCTTGATGTGTGTGAATATTTTGATTTATTACAGCAACACTAGAACTGAAAAGCTGTCTTTCTGCAGACTATTTAACAAAAAGAAAGCTCAGGTTTTTACTTTTGACCGCTGTTGCAATGAATTGGCCAAATTACACGGCTCATAAATATTTCTTTAGCAAACGGTAATATAGATAGTAATATTGCTGGTCCAGTAGAGGCAAGCAAATATGAGAAGAAGAGAATAAGTTTCTATTGCAAAGGACTAATTTAATTTTTTCAGAGTCAATTTGACTCAAGATCTTTGCCTCAAACTGCCATTATTCCAGGACTACCCAGCTCTGCCTCTAAAGCAAAGATACCTCGAAATTTGCATAATCGCAGCTAGGGTAAAGCGAGGCGAATGTCCTCGGGTAATCCACCCAATTTCGCTTTTGGACCGTGCTCCTGAAAGGACCTCAAAAAGTCTCCAAGCTCGGTTTCTTTTTTTTACTATCGTATCCCCCCCCCACCCCATTCTGAGGGGGGGGGGGAAGGAAAACTTGCCTCTTAAGAAAACAAGGGAAACACATATGTCAGGGAGACGTATCTGAACTCTTACCAAGTTATCCAGTTCGGGGTTAGAAGAAAATAAGGGTTTTTCTGCTCGTATCTAGAGACAGGGTAGAAAAATCCGGGGCGAAGAGATTAAAAAAAAAAGAAGAAGAAAAAGCAGTTTGAGAGACCGAGGCAACTCAAGTTGTATTGTTACCCCTTGTTACATTACATCGCGCCCCCTCCCCATACAATCATCCCCACAACCCCCCCCCCAAAACTGGCAGGCAGAGCCGAAAGACTCAAGCGAAGGAGCCCAGCGCGCTGCCAAGCCTGCCGGACAGCTGTCTGCGGCGCCCCCTCCGTCCCCACGCACCAGCAGCGACCCAGAAGCTGGCAGCCTTCTTGGGAAAGTGGCCAGGAGGGCGGCGAGGGTAATCGAAGCCCTAGGGCGACCCTTCAAGTCAAGGTGTGGGCCGGAGGGGCTGCCCTCTCTTCCGGAGAGGAGGGGGAAGCGAGAGGGAATCGGGGGGCTGCAAGGCGCGAAGGCAAGGCGACAAGGGCTTAGGGGGCGGCGGGCGAACCGCCCTCGTCCTTCCCGCGGGGGTCGCCCAGGCTCGGGGAAGCTCATAATGAATCAGGGGCCCCGGGATCGGGGGTTTGCTGACCTGTTTCGCGAACACGGCAATGTCTTCGTTGAAAGATTCGGAAGAACAAACGTCGCCTCCCGCTACCCCGGGCTCCCGGGGCGTGCACGTCGCTAGTTCACATTTCTCAAAAATCAGTGCTAAGAGTGGGAAGAGGGGATGTCTGAAATGGGGGTGGGGGAAAAAAAAAGGTAAAGCGTCACCAAAGCAGAGACCCCCGTGAGCCGCGCGGGCTCCAGGAGGCCGGGCTTCGGGCAAAGCCTGGTCTCCGTCTGGGAGCAACCTCCCAAGTGAACTTTCCAGCCCCCGCGCTCTCCAACGCGCCTAGCCCGGCGCAGCCCGCTCTTCTCCCCCGTTGCAGAACCAGAAGCCTGGATCTGAGCCCCGGGACCCGGTCTGAGTTGCCCATCTAAAAGCTGGTCAGAGGACCCGAGCAGCCTTATCTAAGACTATTAACCAAATGGATTTAGCAGCCATTTTGAATCCACTTCCCGCCCCCCCCCGTCCCCAGCTTTCCCCCACATGGACTTTAGTTCTGGGATGGGGAATGAGAAATCAGCCTTGGGATTTATTGTAATTGTTTTCAGGGGAGGGGGAGCGGGTTAAAGAAAGGTACTTGGGTAAGCTAAATTGTCAAAGTTTCCCCATGGGGTGGGGGGAAGGAGAGAGAGAGACAGAAATAAAGGTTCTCTGAAAGGAATTTGAACTGTTTATATGTGGATCATCAGCTCTTCCCCCCAGCTGGATCAGGAGATTATGCTTTTCCTTCACAAACTCAGTAAGGTAACGCACAATTATTATTGAATGGAGCATATGAAAGTGCATTGCGGAACTAGTGGCTTTTCACATTTTAAACTTCATTTTTAACATGTTAATAAGTTATTCACCAAATCAACATCATGGTCTCTTCATCTGCAAATTTTCCCATTCACCTTTCCTTCTAACTTCTTTGGGGCTGCAGAACTGAAAGTAACCCGCAACGCAAAGGGGTAAAAGTATGATAGTTAAATATGCAGCATTTCTTCAGATTCCCGCAAATAGCAGTGGTGACTGCAAAAGGCAAATTCATCTGAAGTTATACTGGAGGAATAAATCAAGCTGCATACTTTTAAAAAAATCTTTTTTAAAAAAAAATCCCGCATCAGAGAAACTCCAAACCTTATCTAAATTCAGTGTGTGTAGGGGGGAGGGGATAGGAGGAATTCTGCAATTCTGAACATCCCCTTTTAAATTTGAATTTAAAGGAAGCTGTCAAATTGTTTTTCAAAAACTCTAGAAGTCTTAGTATAGGAAGAAGAAAATAAAACATACCTTATTTCTGTATAAATTTAATGAATAAATGAATACATATTTCTTAATACTTCTTAAAATCTACTTTCAGAAAAAGTTCTATTTTTATTTATTTTATGCTATAAAGTCTTTATTTCTTTCTCTCTCTCTCTCTCTCTTTCTTTTTCTTTCCTTTCTTTCATTCTTTTTCTGTTTCTTTTCTTTCTCTCTCTCTCTCTCTCTCCACTTTTCACAAGACTTTGCAGCTTATTGCAAAAAGTTGTAACCAAAACAACTAAAGGACAATTTCAATCCCTCCTCCCACATACATATTGAAGTTCCTAAAAAATAAATGGGGAGAAGGATCTTTCTTTCTGCACAATGCTTCTCAGATCTTAGAGGGAGGGGAGGCATTCTAAATTTTGCAAAGTGACACATGCATTTTCTTTCCAAAACAATTAAATTTCTTTCAGTGGGGAATTTTTTATTTGAGGTAGAACAGAAGTTAGTAAGAGCAGAGCATCACAGTAAAGGAATCCAACCAGGGCACACCCCCCCCCCCCATTCTACAGCTTTCCTACTTTGAGACTAGGCTCTGCAGTGGGTAAGGGTGGAGGGGGAAAAAAAACCAGGGGGGAAGCAGCACATTTTCTGGAGAATAAAACTGATGCTAGCCATACCTACCCATAAATTGCATCTTTATCTCTCTTTAAAGCGTCATTGACAGAGGAACCCATGCTGGGGGGCATGGCGTTGGTGTGAGCTGTGTGCGGGTATTGATGGGAGTGAAGCGGAGGACCATGGTTCAGGTGGTGGACAGGCTGCATGGATCTGGCGGCATGGGGGTCCCCATACATGGTGCTCGGAATCCCCACTCCATCCATCCCACCGTAATGGGGTAAATCGTCGTACTGCATAATAAACAGGAGGGAAAGAAAAAGGGTCAAAAGAAAGGCCCCTCTGAAGTGTAGTTTATGCAGGGATGGGGGAGAAGAGAGGAAAGCAACTTTGTGTGCCAGGGAGTTGAGTTGGGAAGAATGGCTTGGAAGTTAGGGGAGATGGCACCAAATCAGATGACAGGAAAAGGCCTGGCTTTAAGAGTGAGGGTTTTTGCTCCCCCCCCTTTTTAATATATAGATATTAATTTTCCAGTAGGCCATCGTAAGCATGTCCTTTCTGGGATCCTGGCACAATCTTGTGGGAAGGAAAAAGTTAACAGACGGGTAGTAAACTAGCGTTTTAGAGTCCAATTCATCATAAATGCATGCTGAAAAGCTGCCTCGTTCAGTGGGCTTCCCCAGCAGAAGTTAAAATGAGGACGCCTATTATTAACACGTGCATTAAGATAGTCCTTTATTTTTAAGAGGTTTCCCTGTGGGCATCAGTTGTGCATGCAAAGAGCCCCAAGTGGAGAAGGCCTTCCCTGATGTTGCAAAGGCACTCTAAGTAAGGTAGGGTGCAGAAAAATAGAAAGCTCCATTTAGAATGACTCTTCAAGGAAATTTCTTGGAGGTTCTTTCCTTTCTAGTCTTCTGGGGGAAAAGGATAAGAAAACTACAG